GGGGATAGCGGGTTTTAACGTCTACTTTTGTACAGTTTTAAGAATTTGGTTTTGCACCAGTCAACATCTTTACTCTGCCTCCTGTGTCCCATATCCTCCATCCTAAAACACTTTGTTATCGCTGGTGATTGTATGTGCGTACATCTCCCTTACATCTCTGTCCCTCCCTTCCTACCTACAGTACCCATTAATATGTTATTGAGAAACACAGGAAAGCTTTCAAGGAGTTGTAGTTCAACTAAAAGGTTTTAACAGAACAACTTGCTCTGAGCGAAAGTGAGACTGTTTAGAAAGCTTTTAAATATGCCGAAGAGAACTTTGAAGTCTGCCGCAACCCTCCCCCCAATAGTGACAAATTATAGTGGCAGTATGTGTGAGTGTAATACCCATATTTATTAAATATAGTTAAAGCATATATTCTGAAAATAATGGTATTTAGAACGTTTTATAGCCCTCTCTTAAATACAAATGTAATCAGAAGTGGCATATAAAAGATAACACTGAATTGTATGATTTTTGAAGGGGGCTGTCATTTTCAGGACATTTGAAAAAAATTAATTGGTGGAATCAGTTCTTGACTGAAAATGTTTTTCATCTACAAGCTGGCATTTATTCCAGAAGTATAAATTAAAGGACCACTATAGGCACCCAGACCACTTCAGCTTGATGAAGTGGTCTGGGTGCCAGGTCCAGCTAGGTTTAACCCTTTTTGCTGTAAACATAGCAGTTTCAGAGAAACTGTTATGTTTACATATGGGTTAATCCAGCCTCTAGTGGCTGTCTCATTGACAGCCGCTAGAGGCGCTTCCGCGCTTCTCACTGTAATTTTCACAGTGAGAACATGCCAGCGTCCATAGGAAAGCATTGTGAATGCTTTCTTATGGACTGGCTGAATGCGCACACGGCTCTTGCCGCGTATGCGCATTCAGCCAGGGACGTCAGAAGAGGGAGGAGAGTCCCAGCGCCGAGGGAGACCGTCGCTGGAAAAAAAGCAAGGGATTAACCCCTTCCTCCCCCCTCAGCGCCACGGGAGTGGGACCCTGAGGGTGGGGGCACCCTCAGGGCACTATAGTGCCAGGAAACGAGTATGTTTTCCTGGCACTATAGTGGTCCTTTAAGATAAGCTAGACTTTATGAACTAAATTTAATTTTGCAAAGCAGATGAAAGTACACAAATCAGATATACACTATTTTAGTACTTAAGGGGTAAAGAACAATATTAGTAATAATAAAACATATTAATAATTCTGGTCTGGAGTGTTCCTTTAACAATACATTGCATATCTACAGACGCTAAACATAAAATAGACTTCATGAGGGTTTTAGGGTTAAGAGGCAGAATCTCTTTAGCCTTAGTGTTTGCTGAAAGACGAGGTTCCTTGAGAGGAGTTATAAATGTTTAGGAACATTTTGAAGGCACTGGATATTTCCTTTCTCTGAAGCATGTTCCACTGCTAATTAATATTCTGCATGAGATAACGTCTCATCTGTAAGACAACCCGTCCATTATGCTAAGCATAATCAAACTGCTTTTTTTTCCCCCTTTATATTCATAATTGTCATTTTCTACTGGTGCGACATTTTAATTTTTTTTAATTTTTTTTTTTATTTGACAAAAGTTCGACACAGCTGCGAAGCATTGTAAAGCACTCATTTCAGTGATCACTTTTTCCTGGCACGAAAACTGCATTTGGAATCTGTCAAAAGATGACTTAAAAGAAGACATGATTTCTTTATTCAGCCCAAGTGAAGCAAGGAAATGTAAGAATGTGTATCTAATCCAACTCTTATCTGAAGAAGCCTTTATTTTCAACTCTCTCGCCAGTACTGTATCAGGTTATTATATAGCCTATTACACTTAGTCCTAAAAGGATGTCGTTTTTTATTGCAAACTTGCTGAGCTGTTGACCATGACATATTCATGCAAATTCATTGTCAAATCAATAGTTGTGGTGCATGAAAATTCAGATAGTAATGGCGCCTCATCAATTATGGATGAGCATTTCTTTTGACAACTTATACAGAAAGAATTCCAAAACCTATTATATAAAGCTTGCGTTCAAGTTAACAGCACATAACTAAATTGGCTCTGGGAGCTATAGCTGCAGGTGAAGCTGAAGTAAATTTAACATAATATTTTCTATACAAATATTTCTGTCTAGGTACCATGATCACAACAAACTGACATAATGCTTATGATGCCTCAAAACTGTGCATGCCACTCCCAGGTTTGGTTTAAAGGAACACTATATGCACGAAAACAACTTTACTTAATGTAGCAGTCCATGCTTGTCCCTGCAGTCTCACCGCTCAATTCTCTGCCATTTAGGAGTTAAATCGCTTTATTTATGCTGCCCTAGTCACACCTTTTTGCATGTGATTTGCACAGCCTTCCTAAACACTTCCTGTAAAGAGATATCTAAATTTCCTTTATTGCTCAATGTGTTTAATTTAGAATTTCTTATCTACAGCTTTGTTAATAGCCTTCTAAAACCAGCAGCATTCTCCAGTGTAAAATTAAAGTTCAATTTACAGAGCAGGAGATACAAACTTCTAAAATAAGTTAACATCTGATTGAAAATGAAACCATTTTTTCAGGCAGGATGTGTCAGCCACAGGATGTGTGGCTAGGATAGCATTAACAGAAGTAAACATGATTTAACTCCTAAATTGCAGAGAATTGTGAACTAGTTAATCTATGTAGACAGTTTACTTTACTTTCATGGTTCTCTTTGAGAATTATTGGTTTGGGTCAAGATTACTGGTGATGACCTCAGAAGTGGAGATCTGACTGCACAACGGAGACTGCCCTGTGCTGGAGAAAAGGTGAGTGAAAATGGTTCCATAGGAACATCCTAACATCAAAAATAAATATTATATAAATAAATTTAATATATATGTATTTCAAAAGTTAGAATGTTCCTTTATTTCAAGACCACCATCTCTTTATTAAAGGGACACTATAGTCACCAGAACAACTACAGCTTAATGTAGTTGTTCTGGTGAGTATAATAGCTCCCTTCAGGCATTTTCATGTAAACACTGTCTTTTCAGAGAAAATGCAGTGTTTACATTGCTCCTAGGGACACCTCCAAGTGGCCAGTCCTTAGATGGCCACTGGAGGGGCTTCCTGGTTCAGGGCTGCACAGTAAGCAGCCCTGCCTTTCAGCGTCCCCACATTCTTCATGGAGACGCTGAATTTTCCTCATAGAGATACATTGATTTAATGCATCTCTATGAGGAGGTGCTGATTGGCCAAAATGGAGTTTGACCCTGCCCCATTGCAGATTTTAGCCGATCCAAGCTGGAAATTAGGTGAGTTTTAACCCATTTTAAGGGGGCTAAGGGTGAGGGAGGGTGGCAAAATCATAGCAGGCAATATACAGTGACTTATTATAACACAATGGCATATTTTTAAAGAGGTGGGGGAGACAATAATTAACAGAAAATATCTCACGTGCCTGCAGAATTAGCATGACATGAGCACAGTCGCCTTGTCGGCCTCTGCTTAAAACCCCCCACCAAATACCCAATCCCCAATAAAGCACAGACACCGTGGTTTTGGCAAAATTATATCACAGCTTTATTTGTAATTAACATAAATTTAAAGGTCATTGTCAACAGCAGGCCAACGTTGGCCTGCACAATTAACATCCTTCATTTACAATTAACCCCTTGACAATGACCCACCCCCACATAACATAACACCCAAACATTGAACATTTTATTTAACATGAACAGGACCATTGCCACCAAAGGGCACCATCCATTGCCACCAAAGGGCACCACAAGTATAGGGGCATACCGAGACACCCCATACACACCCCGGTTCGGAGCTACCTACGAGCTCGAACCTACCAAACCAGTCCAAAGGCCTACTTATTAGCCCTGAACTCCAAACTTTTTCTCACTCTTTTCTCCCCCCAACTTTACTCTCCATCCCCCGCCACAGCTCAGAGCTCGACTCCTCGAGCTCCTGAGCGACACCCCCCCAGGGAAAAAAGCGCTCTCTGGAGGCCCTCCTGGAAACCCAGCAACAAAAAATCCAAACCCACATCGGACAGATTGACCCCATCACTCCTATAATAACCTGGGAGCATGTCTTCCAACTCCCTGTGCCTGATCACAACCCCCCCTGACCGCCTCACGTACGCTGCCATCACCTTGTTAACCTTACCCTTCATTTTCGCCACCGCGGAGGGATTCCGCGCGTGACGCCAGTACAACCTCGGAACCATTTCCGACCATACTACCATAACCCCTGGCACTAACTCCCTTAATCTGTCCACGTCCCTCTTCATACACTCGAGCAGGACCTTTTGAGGTAACAACCCCACATCATTGCCCCCTGCATGAAGCACCACTATGTCCGGAACCTGTCCCAAAAGAATTTTGTGAAACATTTCCTCACATATAACATTCCAACCCCAGCTCCGGTAACCAAACCACCGAAGCTGCACCACAGAACTTGGAAAGCCCAGCTGTAGACCGTGACGTTGAACTGCAGCTCTCCGTTGTGCCCAGTGTACATATGAGTGGCCGACCACCCATGCCATCCGACCTGTAAAACATAAAGCAAACATAGACAACCACAAAACAACCACCAACATTCCCCCTTTTCCATCCTCCAACTTAAACCAACTTGTCTGGCCTAATGTTAGACCTGAACCTCAGGGACTCCCATCTGCCAATCTTTTTCACCCGTTCGTCACCTAAACCTAGTCTCGCCGCTTCAGTAGCCGCACCAATCCTGAAAGAATGTGTCCCGAATTGGCCCAACCTTGCCCATGCCTTCCGAAAAACCCTGAGGAACTGGAACTTCGATAGCGAAGAGCCGTCCTCATGCTTGAAGTATGAACCCCCGGCCATTGCCCGCACCTCCCGGAAGGCCGATGCGCACTTAACCAGGCAAATTCTCCCACCCGGCAGCTCCCACAACGTAACCAACGTTCCTTTCCCCATTACATCTGTTTTGGACCGCCTCAGGTTAATCACTACCTTGTTGCTCCACACTTCCACGTCCATCGCCTGAAGTCCCCAGGACCCTTGGCGATTGCTGCTAACTAGCTAGCTGACCCGAAATGCCCCAAAAAAGGCAAAACTAAAAACCATGGAAAACAACATCACTTTGTATCCTGAAAAACACACCGCGGGCAGCACTCAGACCACCCGCTGCAGCAATTCGAACGACACCGGCCTCCTAGTATCCACTGACACTTTACCCCTCCTGAAACCTTTCAGTGCCTGTCTAACCAGAAAATGTTTGGTAGCATCCTCCCACCCGTTAAATTTGAACAAGAACGCTAGCGCTGCCAGCTTATGCCCCATCACCGCTGCCGAAACCCCTGTGGTAACTGACCTACACAAGAGCCACAGCAGCGCATCCAACCGCGCCTCCTCTGAGAGCTGATCCCCTGTCTGCTGCACCAGTTCGTCCCATTCCCCCCACACCTTACTGTATGCCGCCCAGGTAGCGGGTGCCAGGGAATCCCTGATCAGTCCGCCAAGCATGATGTCCCGAGCCGCCACATCTCGTCCGGGCAAGACATCCCTTCCTCCCATGCGCCAGGTGCCACATGCCAAAATCTCTCCCACTGTGAACGAGACAACGCATCAGCAATGACATTCAACAGTCCCGGCACGTGGCGCGCCCGTTCACTGCATCTACCACTGCCATATTGTCCGAAAAGAATACCACCTTCTTATCCCTCAACTGTGGACCCCATAGTGACAGCGCCACTACCAATGGGAACAGTTCCAGGAACGCTAGGATGCGTATCAGCGGGCTGGCCTTCCAGGCCCCTGGCCAAGTACCCACGCACCATTGAAAATGGAAAGAGAGAAATCAGCGCTAGGTTGCCACACAAGAAAATAATAATAACAATTAGGCTGCAATCCTCAAGGGGGAGTCCCCTATAATCCCCAAATAGTAAGAAGAAATACAAAACAGAATAAAAATAAGGTTGCGCCTAAAATATACACTAAAACATATAAAAATTGTATACAATAAGTAGTATAAAATAGTAAAATTTAATATAAAATATTAAATGAATTGTTAAATAAGTAGTTGGCAATAGTCCAAAACACTTATCATAAGTTCGTAATGGTAGATGCCACGTGTAAGAACAGGGATTCTGAGATGTAAAATAGAGTGTGTCTTCACAGTAGTGTGCTTGAGATCCAGTAGAACATATGTGGAGAAAAGACAAAAAGGAACTCCAATGGCAAAGTATATAGATGAATAAAATAGTATGTAAAATAAAAATAGTCTTACTCACACTTTTCACACTTGCACTGTCCCCCGACACGGCAGTAGACGTGCCCGTGAAAGGGGGACGCCTTCTGTGCCATCATAAGTTTTATCCAGAGAGGTAGGTCCATCTGGTCCCACCGCATCCCCGGATTAGCAGCCAGGCGCTGACGAAACTGCTCATCATACCGTCACCAGGCCAGACACCCATATGTCCGATAAGCCTCCCAAATACCATCCAGGTAACAGAAGCGCTGCGAATAGCGCTCTTCCGCCTTTTCGCCCATCACGCTGGCCAAGATGCAAAATGCCCTCAGCCAGTTCCCAAACGTCTTAGGTATCTTCCTATACCTCTGCTTCTTTTCCTCCTCCTCCTTTTTGGCATCCTTTTTATCCTCCTCCTTGAGGTCAATGTAGTCCTCAAGGGGGAGAAGCGAAAAGATTTCCACGAACTCCCCTTTCCATATCCTCTCCTTAACCTCCATTTTGAGATGACAGCCCAGTGGGCCTGCGAAAGAAACATGAACGTTCTGCCGCGCGGCCTCTGGGACGCCCCCCAATAAGCTCTCCCTCTCACTCGCCAACCCGGGCGCCTCTACTGTGGGGGTCGCACCCCCGTCCCCAACTGTGCTGCCTCCGGCCCCAGAAACCCTCACCGGACTAGCCCCTGAGACCTCTCCCACCCGAGCCCAAATCTGACTGCACCCACTGTCCTTCCTTCTCCCTACACCCCAGGAATCAATTAACTGCCTAATGTCATCTAGCAGCTCCCCCGATTGTTGTAACGACCATGTCTCACCTTCCGCACCCCTTGCCGCCGAAGGCCGCGGGGTTGCTGACCAACTGCGGATCTCCTGCCCCTAGCATCCCGCTGCTCCGGGCCGTGCTCCTGATGCGCTGGGTCTCACCCGATCCGCGGGGGACCTGGAAGACGCCTGTCCTGTAACCGGGTCCGTCTTGCATGCCGGCGACCGTCCTGCTGTCCTTGTTGCGTGGGTCTCTCCCTCTCCGAGGGTGACTGTCCTCGAAACCTGTAAGGAGAAGACATCCTGGGTAGGCTGGCCGTAGAAACCCTACCCCGTCCCCTCTCTTCCTGGGAACAGTCCCCCATCTCCATGCTAGTCGTCCCCCCCCAAGGGTCATGAGCCTGCACAGCAGCCCGCCTCCTCTCCGGGGAACTCCCGCTCGTGGAACTGCCATCCTGCTGCGTCCATCCCCTTGAACTGACAGGGGGCGTCCTATGCCTCCCCCGGGTGTGGTCCACCCCGCGGGGGTCCCTGTCAACTACGTCAGCTACCCTTTCGATGGCTGCTTCGTGACCGGTTCCTCCCAGCGCCTTGCGCACCCTTTGCTTTAGCCCTGCGCGCTGTAATCTTTGCTGGTGCCAACCTTCTGCGCTGTTCGTCGCTGTCACTCCCTTCCAATCCTCCCCTAACTACCAGCCTCGCCTGTCGTCGTCCCTTCCCCGGTCATATAGGAAACCCGGGGAAGCGCTGTGCTCCCGCCCGCTGCCTTGTGACCCTCTGTTCCGTCTTGCTGCGCTATACCCCTCTGGACCGCTCCGTGCCTTAGCCGTCCCCTGTCTGCCTCTTGCCCTCCTGCCGTCACTAGCCAAGCCAACACCGGGGCCCACGGGGTAACCCGTGGCCCAGCCATTGGCGGGGCATTGGCGTCAGAGGCCGACTCACCCGGACGGTGTATAGCTGTTGTCCCTGTTCCTCCTACAGCGCTTCCAGCGTTCCCGTGACTTGCTGCCAAGCTTGCTGTACCATTCATCCTTCTTCCACTGGCCCGTGCTTGTCCAGGCCCCTTTCCAGTATGGCTACCTCCCCGTTCAACTCCCGAACGTTCGGCAGTTCTTCCACCTCCCCGTTCCCCAGTAACAGTACTGACCCTGGGAACCTCCAGATCCGGATGGCAGAGCATCAACCAGGCATTACCTGAGCCACTCGATCCCCCTCTCCTGCACAGCAGTCCGGACTCCTTCCAGCCAATCTTCTATCTTGCTGACCTGCAGAGGAAACAAAGAAAAAAAAAGCCACACAATTCCTGCCACAACAAACTGGTAGTGTAACTTAGATTAAATTGATCCTTGGATCTAAAATGGCCACTACTTAAACTCCCCTTGAAACTCCACCTCACCATTATTAGTGACCAATCCCTGACCCCTGACCTTTAGATGGCCTGTCTCCTGGCATTGTCAAGGCCCACTCCTCTTAGCTGCGCTGCTCCATGGGCTACAATATGCAAATCTACCCGAATATGCAAATGTACCAGTCTTGCTATTCAGGTAGTGCATATTGCTGTTGCTACCAAAAGAGGGCACTAGACAAGCTCCATAACCAAATCCACCTAGATGGTAACAAACCTCAGCAGTACAGGAGAGCAAAAAAAGAGGAAAAGACTGAAAGAGGAATCTCCGAAAGGATCTTCCCAAATATCAGTCCCTATACCCTAAAAGGAGACTGTTCTGCTAGTATTAGGCAAAGGATTGCCAGTTTAGAACTAAGAAAAATTGGTACAAAAAGAAAATAATAAATCTTTATTAATCCCTCTTGGGGAATGAAAAAAATAATGAAAAGTATATATACAGAAAAATGTAGTGTGTGTATAAAATAGTCCACTGTTCTATTTGTAAAGCAATATGTACATCACGCCAAACAGGCTCCTGTTAGTAGCAACTGAGATAGGATATAAACCGTTTCTAATAGTAATAATTGTGCAACAGTGTCTCAGCAGCTAATATGCCTTTTATGTGTGAATCTCCCACAGTTAGTATACTGAGGTAACATGCTTTAAAGGAACAGGTGCCATTCAATAGGCAGAAACCAACTGTGTCCTGCCTACTCTGGGTGAAAATACCCTTCTAAGATATAGTATTAATAGTAACTTGTAAAGGTGGGGGTTGTCTATGTTAGGACTATAGTGTCACTTGTTGAAGGAATAAGAAAGCCCCTAATAATACTCCAAAAGAGGCTCCCTTGATTACTGCTAGATAGAAATAGTGTAAAGAGAAAAATAAACCACGTATTAAAAGAGTCCGGCCAGACCTAAGTATGAACACCTATATATTCAGTGTAATCTCTACATCAAACCTTTCTAGATATAATCCTATTCCTGATCATGGTATACACAATTCTCACACCACCTAAAGGATTCTGCCGATAGATAGAGTAGAAAGTTGAAGTCTGCTACTATTCCTACAGCTATCAGAGCCTAAGTGTAAAAAAAATGGCTCAGATTCCAGTTAGGTAGAAGCTAAGTCCTAACACATATATCTAGAGAATCCCCCCTCTTATTCTTATATATTGCAGACCTATCCTGTCCTGAACGAGATAGTGGACGTTATTAAATAAAAGACCCTGTGGTCTCCATGTAGCTCAAAACAGTACAGGAGAGCAGGCAATACATCCCAGCGGCCATAGTCACATGGCAGGAGGCTGGCAATTAGTCTTCTCCAATGCCCAGTGGCGAGGCTGGTTCCGCCACAAGCTGTAATCGGTTACTTCATAGATTTTAAGAGGTCATAGTTGTAGGAATCTGTATCTGCAATATTTGTGCTTGAAAAGCTCCACATACAAAGAAATTTACACTTATGTGCCGGGGCTAGTTAGACCCCCAGCACACATGACATTTTCTCCGGGCTGACTAATGTCAGTTCTGTGCATAAAATATGTCCGTCGTCAACACGTACAGCATGCTGGCAACAGATGTATTGATCTTCTCCCTGCAGTGGGAAGAATGGATGTCCCGTCCAGATAAGTTAAAAAAAATTTTTTCGCATTTTTACTGCAAAATGTAAGGGGGGAGCTAATAAATGGGGCATTGTAAAATGGAACATTTTACCCACCCCCAAAGAAAAGGTTTAACCTTCAAACAAATGTTTCAATGTTGTTTACATTCTTACATAGCAAGTACCGAGGTTTTTTGCAAATTTTAAATGAAAGTGTTAAATGCCCGTTGTTAATATAATGTGGATAAATCCCAGGCACATTCTAATTGTTAGGGATGACCGAGTCAATACCGTGTAGTTAGTGCTGCAGGAG